TATTGGAACTATTGGAACTATTGGAACTATTGGAACTATTGGAACTATTGGAACTATTGGAACTATTGGAACTATTGGAACTATTGGAACTATTGAAACTATTGGAACTATTGGAACTATTAGAACGATCTCGAAATATTATTTCTACGGATAATTTTAATGAAAATGTATAATCAAAATTCGCGTCTAGCACTGATCCAGTCACGCCACATTTTCTGGAAATACTATTGTCTGTGTTTCTTTGATAGTAGTGTGGCCTCTTTACAGGTAAAACCTGTGTAACAGATCCGCGTAAATACACAGGGAGCTGCGTAACCAAGTTTTTCTATTTATAGACTCACTATGGTCATATACCCTACGTTGGCATATTCTAACCATATTATTGCGTAAGAATACCAGTGTGCAATGACAATTGGATTTTCATACTGGTAATATTTACGAAAAGATTCGACATTGAGAAAACAATTATTTAGTATTTCACCAGAGACAATCCGAGGCACCAGATAATATTTCTGGTGGTGCTATTCCAGAGATGATGTTACACATTTTTTTCAAAGTAGTTCTTAGCTGATTTCTCAGAGTTGAACCGATTTTGCGATTTTTTTGTATAAACATTTTTTATGGAAAAAAATTAGAGCTACAAAAAAGGTGGATATGAAAATATCGATATCTTCCTTTAATTCTGAGATACTTGCTAAAAACTCGCGACGAAAAAATCCATCTCAGTTCATAACTTCGCAACAGAAATATCGTTGATTTGTCGAAAACCACTGATATTCAGAGAAAATAGCAAGATACCTTTTTTGTCTAAAATTTCATGAGCTACAAAAAAGTCCTCTACCATTTCCTCCGTAAACCCATAGTTTTCAAGCTGAATCGATAATTGATAAAAATGTTAAATTCAACTTCTACTTCAGCTTTTTGCTGCTGAATTATAATGAAGTTAAAAATAATTCAACTGCGTGCATAGCGGAAATGTCCTCTCGAGTCGAAGTTGAATGAGAATAACACTTGCCATCGGTTATATCACCTTCGATAAAAAAAATATTCACCTGCTGATTGAAAAACAAATACGAATACCGTTTGCAAATAAAAAGGGAGAGCGTTTTTACGGGTTGTTTATATTGGAACAGGTTGAACTGATATTTTTGCTCTCTTCTATCTCACATTTTTCCAATATCAACAGTCCCCCGAAATTTTGAATACAATTGGTGTTTACCTTTTACTGAAATGGTGTTTGCCGGCGGTGGTTCGCTCGACATGATTCCATAAAATTATTACGGTACCATGAGCTGCATCTATCACCTGCCCCCTCCTGTCAACCTTTTCCCAATCACCTTCGACACACCGCCACAATTTAGTGTTGGTCACATGCATCCACGTGGTCTGTAAATTGTTGTTTACATTCTCATGTTATTCCTCGATTGATATTCCATCAAAAATGACTATTCATCATTACATCGCGAATTTATCACCGATTAAAATCCATCCAATCTATAATTTTCAAACTAAAATACATTTAATTGGTTTCATTACACGTGTATTCATTAGATTTTTTAAATCTCTTTCAATTCACATATTTACATTCTTTTATTAAAATTTATTGAATATTTTATGAAATATTAATGGATTTAAGGAGAAAAAATTAACATCTTCCATCGAGAATTTAATCCCCAAAAATCTCTTCCGTTTCGATAATGAATAAAATATCTAAATTCGATTTATGACCGTTAATTTACATTATGACCCCACCATTTCCCGGGGATGAAAGAAAAGTTGTCTCAATAAATTTTCATGGTACAAGAGCTGAAATTTACCTCATCGTCATTGGCAATCAGATCCCGCAGTTCTCAGTTGTATCACTCGAAACTCAATATAACCACCAGTTCACGATATCAATCACAAAACAATTGTTTTATCACCAACAAATCCAGAGGAAGTCCTCCCAACTGATCACCAAGTCCCAAAACTCAATACTCCATATTTAATGTCAACGGTAAAGTCGATAACCTAATTAACGAGAGTATTGCCATAAATAATATCTACCAAGTAACAAAAACACAGGTTATAATCTCGTCCAATGACAAAAGAAATAGAAGCCACAGTCTGTATTACCGTAACAATTAGCACACTTGTATCTGACTTTGATGTTGATTTTATTGGACACGCAATATCCTATTGCTCCTTTGACTTTTAGCATACTCCAAAATTGTATTCAATGCAGATTGTGTATGTACTTATTGGTTTTTGTTTCATCAAAATAGTCAACACACAAGTACCACCCACTAACAGATTACGCATGCGTTATATGCTATTCACTCCAACTTATTGTCTCTCATTAGCGATTAAAAAATAACAGTTGATCATCAGCTATTTGCCACTGGCAAATACATCATTGTTATTTATAATCAGTTGTACTTATTCGTTACTAGATTTATTATCGTTACATCCTGCATAACTGGTGACCGATGAATTATCAATGGATTCAATTAGCAACTTGAATCGTGAGATACTTTTGAGCTCACAGGGTCAATTCCAACCAACTCTGGATTCATCAACCATAACACTACAGATTGCTAGATGGTGGAATATACATGTAGGAAGTGTCAGCTTGGATCACGTAGTTCTAATGCTTATTTGTATTTTTAAAATTTTTTTACTCAATCCTTTGTTTCAAGACTCGTTGAATTTTCAATGAGCTATTTGTTTACGTTACATGTCATTCTGAAGTTTATTTGGTTTTATGTTATTCAATTAATCTACCTGATTGTTGTTATTTTTTTTATTTCATCATCTTGGGGTTTCAGGATTCTCAGGGCAACCAACGTAGTTGTACATCGGGTTAGGTTGTGGAAAATATTGCTAATGCGTCAGATTTGTAGTTGACAGTCGGTCCAGGTGTTATAATCGCGGGAAAAATACGTGGATCGGGAATTTTGGAGGAATTTAGTTGAATAATCCCCGGGACATTGATTGTTTAGAGGAATTAGGGAGAGTTTATCGTACAGTTGATTGAGAATTCGTGGTGAGCACTTCGAGGTTAGATTATTTAATGTGTGCACGGCATTGCAGCAATTGCAGCAATCGCTCTACACCATTTTCGTTGTCAAGTGATAGAATTCGATAAGCAAAATTAAAAGTTCTCGTTAATTATTGATTTATCTTGAAACCTATCGATTTTAGGGGAAAAAGATACAGGACTTTTTTGTAGTTCATCAAATTTTCTTGAGAAGAAGTCTTTTTGTGTTTTTTTGGAAACTCGAGATTTTTCGAGATAATCGATATTTCGCAAAACTAAAATTCACTATTTCATTTTAACAATTATTGGGTCATGTAGTTGACAGATTAATATTTTTATTTCAGTGAAGAATGTCGTGGCTATTTGGACGAAAAAAAACCAAAGATTCACCTTCAGACTCCGGGGAAGAGACGGCCAGTAACATCGACGATTACATTCTCGTAGAGAAACAGGTGAATGCACCTTCACCAGTTGGTGGTGCTGGAGCTGATCCCACGAAAAACTTTGGCCTTTACCCCTATCTTCCCCAGAATTCCTCCACAAATGTACCACAAATTCCATCCAACGTCTCCTCATTGGATATTTTGTGCGACGCACCGAACTATTTGCCTTGTATAAAATTCCAACTGAATAAAATGTTGGAGAACGACGTAGAGATGGACAGGATTCACGCCGACGAGATTCTCTCATTTATTTTGAGAATTAAAAGCGAAAACTATGATTACGATTTTTCGTTAGAAAACAGTGTAATTAATGAAATGGCAACGAGCAGTGGATAGTACTCCGATATTTAACTATTTTTATCAATTTCTCCGCTGTATTGTCGCTTATCCTTTAAAAATATTGGAGTATATTATAGTATGTACAGATTTCCTGACAATTCCGTTCTCTTCACACGTCAGAAATATTTTTTAAACATTTTTTTTATTAATTGTACAGCACAAAGACGATAAATACTTTTGGAGGGAAAAAAAGCGTGAGTCGATGTCATTGTTAATTTTTTATTCATACGGCTAAACAATACGTGAGAATTATTAAAACGAGAAAAAGGAATGGTACCCATGTCTTCAGAAATCCTGAGATGCTGTAAAAATATTATAATTTGTTGTCTATTTGTTCAGGAAATAAACAGTTAATGAAATTTAATACCTGACGTATTTTCCGTGGATGAGCATGAGTAATGCCAATTTAACCATATTCCAATTGTTCGAATTTTTGAATACCATCAGGTTTAAGGCAGTGGCCACGTGAGAGTGACAGTTGTCACAGCATAAATTATGCTGAAGCAAAATAAGAAAGTTTAATTCACTACTAAAATATTGAAGTGAGAAATAAATCGAGAATAATTAAAAATGTTACAGTTCTGTACAGAATTCAGTAGTTGTATTTAAATTAAGGGCCGGATGGAGTATCTCGGAAAGATAATTTACTCCAAAATTGGCATTCCTAATTACTCCGTCAATTAATCATTTTTTCCGATAATTGTTAGCTAGCGGCCTAGTTGTTGACAACCGCTAGAACGCTAGCTAACAATTATTGAAAAAAACGATTAATTGCCAGAGTAATTAGGAATCCCAATTTTGGAGTAAATTATCTTTTCCAGATAATCCAACCGGTCCTTAAAATAAATATCTGTTGGTCTCAAAAAAGATTAAGGCCCGGATGGACTGTCTGGAAAAGATAATTTACTCCAAAATTGGGACTTCTAATTACTTTGACAATAAATCGTTTTTTTCAATAATTGTTAGCTAGCGGCCTAGCGGGTGACAACCGCTAGAACGCTAGCTAACAATTATCGGAAAAAACGATTAATCGACGGATTAATTAGAAGTCCCAATTTTGGAGTAAATTATCTTTTCCAGATAATCCAACCGGTCCTTAAAATAAATATCTGTTGGTCTCAAAAAAGATTAAGGCCCGGATGGACTGTCTGGAAAAGATAATTTACTCCAAAATTGGGACTTCTAATTACTTTGACAATAAATCGTTTTTTTCAATAATTGTTAGCTAGCGGCCTAGCGGGTGACAACCGCTAGAACGCTAGCTAACAATTATCGGAAAAAACGATTAATCGACGGATTAATTAGAAGTCCCAATTTTGGAGTAAATTATCTTTTCCGGGCAGTCCATCCGGGCCTTAATATTAAGAAAAAATAATAACAGTTAGTCTTTGGGATAAATTGATAATTTGGAAAAGATAGTCATTTTTTACTTGAAATTGAAACTACAAACCATTCGAGTTTTGTAGATATCACTAGCTTCTGACACAGCGCTGTCCCATCCAGCTGCACCTCCTTTTGCTAGCAAATGATTCAATTGCCAATATTTTGTGGGACTACCGAAAGCCATTTGATCTTCAGAGACATGATAAGGACCAGCAAAATCCCGTATTATCCCCGCAGATGTTGCTATACCCATGTGTCCAATGAATGGAAAGAAATACCTGTAATCAGCGTAATGACAATAATCGCCTCATGAAGGAGTTTCATTCTTAATCTTCAACATTTTTATTATTTAAATATTTTGTGATTAGTTTATGGATAGACTATCAGTGGAATTCAAAAGTAAAAATGAAAAACTGTAAATAATCCACAAAATTAAATAACAAAAGGTAATAAAATTAAAAGGACAAAGCGTACGTTAGGAGTGGTATCGGTGTCCAGACAATACAAAAAGGAAATCTTTTCCTGGGAGCATCAATTTGGAGATCAATTGCCATTGGAGATGTGTCAGCACAATCACTGTCTTTCATATTTCCCAAAATTCAGGGGTAATTCAATGTTTATATCTCAATGCACTGAAATAAAACACGGGATAAAGTAATTCTCTTGCAAAACTGGAGCTCTATCGTTTTTATCATCGCCAATTCCTCTCAAAATTTCAAATTGCTATCAAATTATTTATCATTTATTTTGTTCATCTGTGAAAACACGAAAATTCACAATGGCGTCGTAATAACAGAAATTCCATCGGTAAAATCGTTCGTATCAACATTTCCCGTCGATAACAACAAAAAGTTAATCTCTCTATTGCATGAAAAAAATTTTTCGATTTTTGGAATAATTATTGCTACCGCATTTATATCAACAAATTTTCCTCGAGAATTCTCCACGAAAAATTAAAAAAACGTGAATTTTCACATTCTCACCTGCAAGGGTACGAACATCGTTAATTCAAATCTTGGCGGACAAATCTAGTAACAAAGATGGTGGTGGTGGGGACTTTTGAGAGAATTGGCAATAATTGCTAGATTTTTCTATCCCTTCATTTTCAAGTGACTAATTTCACACAACAAGTCAAACCAGTGGAGTTTCTCAGAGTTTCTCCACCTTTGTCGCTAAAGTCTCGTCTGTCTCTCCGTTTTGTCCATCCACGGAGTGAATTACCTGTGTAATTTTCAGCCGTTTGGAAATAACCCCAGCCAAATAATTACTCATCCCCCAGTGATAAGTTAATCTTCCGAAGCAAAATCAGTCTGCGATAGTGTCTCGGTGAGTTGTCTCGTATTTATCACTTTAATATTCGATTTTGTGGTGATTTAATGTTGATGGTGGACAAACAGATGAGCCATTGTGAACAAGCCATCGCTCGTTTTTCCGTGCAAATGCAACTTATCGATGGTGTTGATTTAATTAATCAATTTATATCTATTTCATTGGGATAAAGTATCGCAGACGTTTTCATCTAGAACTGGATTCTCCAATTGCAGGTTTACAAACGTCATCTGGCAATTTTCCTATTCTCTTCTTTGTTTTCTCATGACAAAACCCCGAGGCCTGTTTTCTTCACTTTTTTCCTCTCTTTTTTCCTCTCTTTTTTCCTCTCTTTTTTTCCCCCGTTCTACGCCACTGATCAAATTTTATATTTAATTCCATTAAATCCTTGAATAGTATATCATTTTACTGTTCCACAATAAGGCAAAAAATATTTCTAAAAAAAACGGACACGATTGGGGATAAATCGGATTTCTCTGGGAGCCAGAAATCCTCCAGATTGTCGACGGAATAAAACAGAAACGACAGCCCAAGTGATACCATAATCAGGAAATTGCTGATATTTATTTTCAGACTATTCATCGATAATTCTCCACTAGTGCACAGCTATCGTTCAAGTAAAAAGAAAAAAAAAACGGTTAACCTGTGATAACGAACTGTTGGAAGGACGCCCTTGTCTCTCGCCAATAAAGTCTGTAAGCTGTAATTCCAATTATTTATCTTATTCCTTGAATAAAATTCATGATATCTCGAGGAAAAGAGAGACAATGGCCGTAAAATAATGAAGATTGTCTTGAAAACGAGGGAATTGTCTTGAGGAGCATGACAAATACAGACTATTAACATTGGTTTGTCCATAGCTGGTGTCATTGATTGAACAATTTCCACGTGATGTCCGGTTTCAGGGGGATCTTGATTCAAGGCCACTGATGAAAACGATGCAATTTTATTACTCAGACCCAGTTTAATTCATGAGGAAGTAAATCTTATCGTGTACCTTTCCTTTAACGGAAATGCATAAATACATTAAATGCTAACGTACATGATTTGTTTCCTAGGAATTATTTATTACGCATCATCACTGGGCTTTTGCCTCCAATTTTCATCTCGGAATAACAAGTTGAAAATATTTTGGCGAGTGTAATGCTCAAGAGGCTGTCAGGGACTTTTTGCAAATATGTACGGATTGAGCCTTCAGTCATCTGACATTTATTTCAACTCAACTGGGATTATTTCTCTATCTCTAGCTTGAGAACTTGTCAGTATTTCATAATGGCTGCGTAAAAGGACATGGAATTAGTACAGATGACATGCTATTGCTATTTCAAAACTTGGGTTTATTCCATTTTCATGATTTTTTTATTTATTTTTCGTTATTCTTCGCCCACGGACGATTACTCAATAGTTGTTTATCGAAATATTAAATTGAGTGCAGCAGGAGCAGTGATGCATTTCATCTGGAATTCGATGTGGCGTGTCGGTAATATATTGTATGTTCTCCTCTCTTGTCATTTAGAATTGAAAAATTTATCGTTTTTCGTTTCGTTTAATTTCATTTGAAAATTGCAGGAGATGGTCTCGTTGAAAAAAGTAATATCCATCGATACTTTTGCTGGCCAAATATGTATGACTGACGTCACTCCACCGACTCGACACCGTTGAGGACGCCCACCTCACTTTAAACTGTACAACAGCTTTCTTGTTCCGTACATCTTGAAACAAGTATATCCCATCAACAAACTCTTGTTTCCGCATTTCCGTTCTCCAATAGCAGTGGGAACGCATCCTATTAAATCGCTGGCATTTCCTCAACAACTGGGGAGGCTCTGGCATGTACAGTCATCTTGATTATTTCATTCAATTGAAATTTGGTTGAATGAAAAGCGAGATTAAATGGTCAAAGTTGGTTTGATTGTTGGTGACACACCCACGAGAGCCCACGTACAAATATGAATTACCCTGTGAATCTATGGTCATACGAGGACGAGGACGACGTCGAGGTCGGCTGTATATTTTCTCGTAATTTATGTTTTTGTCAGTGAAAAATATTTGTCCTGGCGTTTCCGTTTCACGAGAGAGGAAAATAGATTTTCACTTCTTTTTTATCACTTTTTTTTTTCTCTTACTTCGTGCACACTGTACATGTGTGCGGTTTTATGCGGGTGTTTGGGTGGTAAAGATATCACAGTGACCTCCACCTCCGCTTTTTCGTCTATTCTAGAGAGCCAATTCGTTTAACTTTAGAATTTTCCCTTGCCAAGTCTTTGGACTTTAAGGGTCCTTTCTACACACTTGCTAATAGACCCCACATTTCTCGGGTTCCGGTTGCTTCATGTGTCGATGATTCTCCGATAATTCATCAATTGTCTTTGGTGCAATGTATTTATATACGATTGTAGTCGATTGGGTGACACGCATTCGTACACACGCATTGAATGGAGGTCAGTGGAGCATGTGCAATTTTCGATTTGTGCAACGAAATCGTGTCAATTCGATGTCGATTCAGTCATTAAATTACATCAGGGATGATGGACAAACGTCGTCATTGATTTGCATTATTATTCATTCATTGATGTTGTTTAACAGGTGGTGGTGGTCCCGCCGACTCGCAACATCGCGGGATATTGGACTTTTGGCTGAATAACGAATTGAGACTGAGAAAATGGTAGACTACTATAAAGTTCTTGAAGTTACACGAGTCGCCACTACCGCGGATGTCAAGAAGGCGTAAGTAGTTATTTAATTATCTTATAAATAATTATCAATATAAAATAATCAAACATCGCGTAGAAATGATATCGGAAAGTTGATGTTGGGAGGAGGAAAAGAAAAGGAGTAAAAGGAATTATTTGAATGTGAGATTATTGATGCATTGCTGGAATTTTTTTCTCGAAACTTCTCGGTAGTGCAGCCACGGATGTGATGAACTAAATGCAACGTCATATATGGTATTAGAGAGTTACCAATGAGGCAGTTATATCTTTTGCTCTCCTCGGCCAAGGTTGACATCTTGGCCGAGGGGTCTATGACCGCAGGCATTCACGAGAACATAATCTTCGTCGTATTGCACATTCAGCTAGATTACCAATTATTTTTCCCCTCGTTTTCTTCCGTCCAAGAAAAATTCTTTATTCTAATTCTTTAATTGATATTTCGTGTCCATCAGCTATCGCAAACTAGCACTCAAATGGCATCCGGATAAAAACCCAGATAATCTTGAGGAGTCGACGAAAAAATTCAAAGAGATCTCGGAGGCGTATGAAGTATTGATTGACGGTGAGTCATATTTAAAATAATTCTCTCAATTGTGGAGTGTTTAGTCATCCTCTGATGAATTGGAGATTGAATTTTGGTTCGATGATTATTATTATTATTTCAAACAGAAAAGAAGAGGCGAATCTATGATCAGTATGGGAAGGAGGGTCTTCAGATTCCTGGGAATAAGCGCAGACATGAGGATGAAGACTTTGATCAGTTCCATAATTGGTTTGTGTTCAGAGATCCTGAGGATGTCTTCAGGGAGTTCTTCCATGGATCACCCTTCAATGATCTCTTTGATGGTTGGTATTTTGCGTTTTAATGGCTTAATCTAGCTGTTGATTAATTGATGATTCATCCACAGTTCTGAATGGTGGGAATGGACGCAGGGGATTACACAGACACAGCTCCAGACAGAATACATTGGGCTCACCGTTTGGCACCCTCGATCTCAGCCTATCGTCGCCTTTCGGATTTTTTGGAAATGGAGGTGATCTTGGATTTTCGTCATTCAGCAGTTTCGCAAGGGGCTCGTCACCAAGCTCTGGGGCTGCTGTGAAAAAAACAAGCACCTCCACCAGATTCATCAATGGAAAAAAGATAACAACTCACAAGTACGATAAAATGCAAACAATATAAAAATAGTATGAGATAATGGAGATAGCGAACCTTGTTATCTCTCTTTTTATTAAATGGTCAATGGTAAATTATTGTTTTTTCATTGTAGGGTCGTCGAGGGTGGCAAAGAGACTATAACTTTCTATGAGAACGACGTAATAAAATCAAGGACAGTCAACGGAGTTCCTCAATCAATCACGTACAGTTAAATTATTGTCTCATCTATGTTTGCTTCGTGTTAACTTATTGAAAAATATTCAACTGGAAATGATAAATCTTCACGTCTAACTAAATATCCATCAGACGAATTATCTCAATCTCACACTGTACACGAGACTTATCTCTCTTTAATTTCATTAATTATGATTAATATACAGTAACACAGACGCTGGTCGATGCACTGCATTATTCTGTTGAAATTATAAAATTTATTTCTAACACAATTTTTTTGCTCATCACTAAGAGGTTCAGTTATCAATTGGTGCTTTTTTTTGTATCATCAATACTAAAACAACGAAAATTCTAAACAGAAGTGGATAAAACGAATAATTTGATGTGGGAATTACAAGGAAATTGTAGTGATGAGTCTGTTGTTTTATCAGGTTGAATGAGGCATCGACGAGTCGTCAAGTGAGTGACAAAATCAGCGATTCGTCGTCAACTGGTGGTCATACTAGAGACAGTGCGAAATTGTTGCATACGGATAAAACACGGCTAAAGTCCCATCACCATCATCCACATACGAAGCACGAAAAAACTAAAAGAAAGTGAATCATGAGAGAGGAAAAAAAAAAACAACAGCACTTGCTTCATTCTTAATCACAACTTCCCTTTTATATTTTCGCTGTACGTGACCACCAATTCCCCCATCTGTATCGATACTTTTATTATATTCAGATTTATCCGCTTGAAAACGAAAGATACGTGAGTCTTGGCTTTGTGCGGTAGCTGTGAATTCATCATTTGAAAATAAAATTTACAAGTATGAGAAATGAACGACGAATGTCTGTCATGAAAAACAATTATTCATCTCTGCTACGCAATCTTAGATGTTTGTACTCACTCGTAGATATTTAAGGCCATCTTTTATCGTCATTAGCATCACCTACGTTAATTGATCAAATATATGGGTAGACTGCAGTCAAATTGAAGAAATGGAGATTAATTCACTGTGAAGACTTAAAAAAATCATTCGTTTCGTCAATGCTATCTCCAATTCTTATGAAATCAACTTCAATTCAACGTCATCATGCGTTTTAGGCAATTTTCTTTCCTTGATGATTAATGATATATGTGTATATAATGATAAGAGGTAGAGATTAAGTTGAAAAAAATACAGCTCTTATTATTCAAGAAACAATTTTTATATTTAATATCCTTAACAAAGAAAGCTACAGTTGTTTCTAATGTTCCTCGAATTGCAATAGAAATTCATTAAATAGGTGTAAAATTTCGTATAAATATGAAAATATTCAAGTAGCACCGGTAAATAATTATTTAGTGATTATTGTGTCATTGTTTCGATCAATTCCCAGTGCGATACACTTCTGTGAAGGCCATTGTTGATATATTTGCGCGATTACATGTATATTCCATTCACACTGAGCGGCTATCGCTAAAACTTTATCTTTTTAATTTTTGCCAATAGATTGAATGAGACTTGCTACTTTGGCGATGTATTGAGTCATCGCTTCGTTCTTACTCATTCCTTTTTTTCCATTCCAAGAGTCCCATTTTGCTTTGCCTTTGAAGTCCAGCATTCCGGGTCGAGCTTTAAAGTACGTTTAATTATTTATTTAATTACGGTATTGCGTTTATATAATTATCTTACTCGTGTTACAATCGCCGATTGATCCCTGCTTGAAGAGAGCATAGAGTTCCAGAAGATCAGCATCAGCTGGTGTGCTGGCTAGATTCTTCACGTCTTCAGCTGCTTTTTTGAATGACTGAAATCATTTTTTATTTTACATTTCAATGATGATTTACCACAACAAATTCATAAATAACTACATATTCTCAGAAAAATGCGAAATAATCGTAAATTACGAATTTATCGAGAACCATCAAGTGTATTAAATTATTTATAAACTCTGAAAAGTTCCTGTTTATATTTCGTAATTTAACACTGACTCCACAATATCAAACGTGATATTCCGTATTATTCTTATCACTCTGCATGACAAAAACAATTTGACGTCACGAAATTACGAACTTTCAATATTATGAATTAGATAGAAAAAGTCGACTTAACCTTCAATTACAAGGTCTTACAGACAGTCACTGGAATGTCGATTCATGATGGAGGCGATTATTTAAACGAAAATCCGAAGGATGATAATTATTGAAATAAACTCAGACTTACCTCCTCTAGTGACATTGTGTTTGCTGAATTATTTGAAAACTGCCACGTCAGTAAAATGACCTACGACGACAGTTTTATCGATTAACTGTTCAATTTTAAATTGACAACAGGTGAAAATCCGTAATACTTTACCTATGTTATGATGTCCCAATGATTTTAAAAATCACTTGCCTCAATGTTCGATTTGACTCGAATGAACGTCTTCATAGGTCTGACCCGGAGTAAAAATGGAATCGCTGTCCAAAGAGAAATGGTGGGGGCAAATGATTTTGTATAATTTCTGCTATTCACTGACGAAATAAAATTATCGATATCGTTTTTTTGATGAATGCCGAGGCAGGAGTTGCCAGGCGATAATATTATCACCTAGAGAAAAGAATCTTATCAGAAATAATCGATATGATAATATATCCTCTTGTATCCTCTAGATAAAATATCGCCTCATTGATTTCATATTTTCAGATCATCGAGTAATGATTTCATTCAAAGTACTCATGCAAATAACGAGGTCAAAGAGCATTCTCTTCATCAATTTATTATTCCACGATCACCAAAAGAAAGACAAGGAGAATACATTTACGTACATTACATACATAACATGCATTACATTATGTTTATTTATATTTTGGAAGTGTTGAATTAACGAACGATATGTAGGCTTTCTTCGCATCGTCTTTGGACATTCCTTTTTTTTTGTTCCATTGGTCCCACTTGGCTTTTGCTGGATGATCTTTTGCACTGGATCGCTCTGATTCAGAATTTTTTTATTTAAAAAAGCCATACGGAAGTCAAAGTGGCGTGATTGCACACGTACCAATATTTATGTCTCCAAATGTTGCTTGTTTATATAATGCATAAAATTCCAGGGCATCTACCTCCAGGAGACGTTTTGCTAAATTTCGCACGCTCTCCGCGGCTTTGAGAAAATCCTGAAACAACAATCAACGGTTTAAATAATTAAGTATTATTAATATTCAATATTGATATTATAGTATTTAGTGGATCTTTTATAATTGTTATTATCAATGATTAATGATTAATTGTATTATTAATGATTAATGATTAATTGTATTATTAATGATTAATGATTAATTGTGTTATCAATTACAGAGCAGCTGAGTTTCAATTTGGAATATGGGATATCTCTTATCACTTCGACTAATCAATTTAGTTGTGATTAAATCAACTAGTTGATGTGATTATTGTTAAATTGGGAATTGTAAATTCACCTGGTCCAATGACATTCTCTTTTATATCTGCTCTCGTAAATTTATGAACAGTTACTGCGGAGATACTAGGCAATTTTCCACTTTTAAAACAATCATGCAAGAACCAAAGTCCCAGCAGATAATGACCAGACGTATTGATTAAATTATAAACATAGAAAAAAAATGGGACTATAGTTAATTAATGGAAGTATCACGAGTTAAATGACAGGTGAATATAAAAAGATCTCAATTGACTAAAGGACGACTTTACGAATTAATTGGAAACGTGAGAGCAGTTGAATAAATTGAATTAATTATTTGATATAGACATTTTAAACAAATTATTTTCGTCCTTCGGACAAGTTCAGAATTGCAAGACATTTTTTTTCTGGTTTAATGTCAGATGTTTTCTTCTTATGACTTCAGATTTTTTGTAGAAAACTTTTTTATTCTCCTGGTACAGATGCGTGTATCATCGGAATTTCCGAGCGGCTGGGGGAATTTATATATCCGGGTGGCCTTCACATGGGAAATTGACGGAGGGCCACGGACATTGCACCTGTGGAACCTGTAGTAATGAACAAATTCCGGAGACTGACTCAGTGTACCAATCATCCAGGTTACTTTCCCCGTCTTCTTCTAATCTCTTTTTTTCTCCTCGGATCTGACTGAATCGTATGAAATCCTCTGTCTGGTACCAAAAACTGTTTGTGACTGATTATTTATTTACGTATCTAATAATTTATTGAGGGAAAGGGAGGATAAAATGGACCCTTTTTTTTATATTTTCAAAGGTTTTTCTTAATTTTTTAGAGATGGGCGGAGTGATCCTTTGATGCGTGTCTAAATTTCATATTTAATTAATTAATACGGAGTTTTTATTCTGTTTATTAATTTTTATTGATAAATACAATTCAATTGATAAATTGTTTAACGTTAAACACTATTTGCAGTAAGCAGAAATGAATTGTTTTCGATAGTCTCGACGAATCATTTTGGAATTATTGGAAAAAAAATCGTGAAAGAGAGGATGACGCGTTGCATAAATTTTGGTGGATGCTTTTGAAGGCAAGGGCTAGTCATTTGAATAGTGAAAATTGCTGAGGAACGAGTTTTTGCGTAAGGGGTCTATTTTACCCTCCATTCCCCTATATATTTAATTTTTTTCCCCTGAAATGTCATGATCATGCAATAATATCCCTGCGTTATCTCTAAACTTTTCAAAAATTCACAAAACTATTTTAAAAAGCTGCAAACGGTAAATTTTTTGGGTGAATCCGTTCCACAATTAATAATAATATTTTATCTTCAATTTATTTCATTTATTTCATTTATTTCATTTTTATTTATTTAACCCAATAAACCTGCAAAATGCAAAAACGATAAATTTGTTGGGTGAATCCGTTCAACAATTAATAATAATATTTTATTTTCAATTAATTTAATTTATTTAATTTATTTCACTCAATAAAACTTCAAAATGCCAAAACGGTAAATTTTTTAGATCAATCCCTTTAACAATTAATAATATAATTTTATGCCCGATACCTGCCAGATTCTCTTTAAATACTTGACACGAAATCAGGAAATGTGGAATCAATCCCTGAAAGTCTCCATTTGTCCGTTTAATGGATCTCCAGTCGAGTTTCCATCAGCTTTCATCCAGAAATCAAAGAGAAACGAATTGTCGCGGGTTTCGCTTGATTTCGCCGATCGGCATCACCGAGCATTGCCGAGCACCACCGAACAGCCAATTGGTACGAATAAACGTTAACGTATACACGTGTCCCGTGTCAGTCTGTACCAAGGAACCCACAAGACACTTGACAAAAGTCCATTGATTTTCACAAAAACTTTCCAATCGCAATTGTCGTTTTTGTCCCCAACACCTGCATTACCCTTCATCAACACATCGTGTCTCATATTTTCCGCGGTATTGTAATTGTAATTGTAATTGTCGAGCTTGCGCCATGCATTTGAATATGACAACCGGTACACCAATCCCTCCCTTTCAAATTCAAATTCAGAAAATAATTCAGTAACTAGTGCCATGAGAAAATGTGATCTGTGAAAATCTGAAGTGTATTAATTGTTTAAAAACATGGATTTTTATAAATTTCATGTTTGTCAATAGTTCACATAATATCACCTATATACACTACCAATCATATATACATATGTGTATATATATAAATTGAACTTTAATTGTTTAAAAATCATTAAATAAAAAAAATCATAATAAAACATAAATAAATCCCTAAAATTCCTCTTTCAAGTGAAAATGGACTTCAAGTTGCTGTGGAGTGAGATAGTGAGACATTTCAGTAATTGATAACTTCATTTGTTGAAACAATTTGTTTTTGCAAATAACCCATCGATGTGATTAGTCGACTGATTTGTTAAAATATCAGCGAGGTTATGAAGTTGCAGGATTTATCTTTGAATTATTCGAGCTTTGTTGAGTGTGAGATAACATCGGAGATGATGGATAATCGATCAACGCCCAATCGACCACTCCATAATGCGAGCTTTCTTCATCGGAATAGTATCCTCGGAGTGAAAGACAAATTCGAGGGTCTGGCCTTGAAACGCAAGAGTCTGCCACTTCAATTGATTCCAACTGATATTGTCAACATTGAAAATGGAACGCACAGTGTCGACGATGTGTCAATTACACCAGTCGTCAGCGATTCTCCGGAACAATTGAATTTCAAGGTTCATTAATTTACAATTTCATCGTACCACACGTTTTCATTATTCGATTTATTCAGTGTGCGACGATTTAATACTTTCGCACACTTGACAATCACTCCAGGTTTTCACTACTTAATTATTCCGAGGAATCCTCGAACCGGATCCACCAGCGTATGTAAATAAATAAATTCATTGCATCCAATGGTGTATTCAGGACTCATTGATATGTCCCTCGCTTTTCTCGTGCTTTGCACAATTTTTATAGAGTAATTTCTCATTATTCTCATTGTAATCTTTTGTTTTGTCAATTTATGGATCTCAGAGGAATGTCGATGTTCTAAATTTTTGTTTTAAGTGTTCTTTATCTGATTAAATGAAGAGTCCAAGGATCTTATCGTGCCTGATAAAGATTCACTGCTTCAATCATTTCGAAGTGTTGCAAAGACCAAATCCCCAGCTTCTGGCAATTTTTTTAATCAGAAAAATTTTAATTTTGTTTTTTTTTTAATTGGGAATTTTCTATCAGGTGCCGGAGGAAAAATTCGCCTCGTATGAGGATATAAATAGCCTTGAAGAAGTGATTGAAGAGACGAGAGACAGTGGAAATGGAGAAGGGAACAAACAAGAAGAGACAGCCATAGTCAACAGACTACAGTCTCCAGAAAAGTCTACAGAGGATCGTGCGAATAAAGAGGACATTGACACAAGACATTCGTGGGAAAAACTGAATTCCGAGATATCTGAGGAAATATGTCAGTCTGCTGAAAACCACATTGCTGATTTAAATGACAATGACAAATTGCTGAGTACAAAAGTTCATTTCAAGGTGAAGCCTAAGTGGGGGTTTACGAGAACTGTTATGCATTATGTACCGAACAGAGCAAAGAGATCGAAAAAAATAGGTAAAATGAGACCACGAAAGATTAAAACGAAAGATGAAATTTCTTCTTCTGCCAGTGTATCACAGCCAACGAATTTCGTTCATCTCGCTGGAACTGCACGTTGGGCTTGGCTCAATGAAACACCTTTCAATTCACATTCTCGTCCAATTATAACGCATCAGGAAAAATTCGCTAGATTACCAATGGTGGGGGAGCAAACACCAGACAAACAATTCGATGTGAAAATATCTACAGATATCAACACCGATGAACGAAATTGTAGACCTTCTGCGAATTCAAGTTTTCTCTGGAGTAATTTATCTAAACAAACTGCCGATGTGGTTGACAGTGAAGACCAAGAGAATTACGACGACGTGGGAGTATCAGTGGCTCATGTTGGTTTGCTAATAATTCTGTCATTATCAGAATCAAAGTCCAACAATTAATATTTTATTATTTTTCAGGAAGATGCAGAGGATGTATACGATGATGTGGGCCCACCCTTAACATCCGTTAAGATATCTCCTTCCGCAGTTGATTACCACCACGATGACGATGATCAAGTTTACGATGACGTCATGCCCCCGAGTAATCTCTCTCTGAGGAGGAGCACCCAGGGGGAAAATTGTGACAGTAATCCTTCGAATTTGCAGGGATTTCCCACTGGAGAAAAAGACAACTGTGGAGAGGACTTGATTTATATGAGAAATGATTATTCTTCGGTAGATGAGGATGCGGATGACGAGGACACATTGTATGATGATGTCGGTGTAAATTGTCAGTCTCGAGTTAACAGCCTCTACGCTGCCTCCACTATTGTCTCACAGGCGGAATCGAGTTATGGAAAGGAATCTGAGTGGGAGGATCTGGAAGAATCACTGTCTGAAGTCGTGTAAGTGGAATTTCTTTCTCTCATATTTCCCCATGAGCTGATATCTTCACCAATTCCGTTCAAAATAACAAATAATCATTCCTTATCTAATCGAAATGCAACAGTTATCACGAGATGAAGAAATGATTTTCTATTTTGGGATTCAGATCGACAAACAATCAAGAGGATGGAGGCAGTCCCTCGAAAAGGAGAACGGGTCGACGGGCGAGGAAAGTGAGACGGCAGAGATCAAAGGCATTGCGCAAAAATTCAACACGAAACACCAGTCAAATTGTTGGGATCTCTCGTCAATCAGACGCTTCTGGTGAGTTCTTAATGAATTTTCTCGTAACAGCTCGATCCAGAAAGGGGACGTACGCACAAGGCTCTGTATACGTCTTTAAATAATTAAGATCTCCCGCACGATTACCATTTACTCGGTCTCCGGTGCGTGCTGATAAAGAGTAATAAAAAATTTCGAGTAAAAATTCTCGTGCACAAATGAACGAATCTAATAATGAAAGCTAATACTCATTAACATTAGACTTGTCCATTTCTTTATTATGTAGTCTGTAATTAATAGAACTTTTTCTTCCTATTACGGAAGCGAAAATCCCTGTGTGCATGAAATAATTGCTCACTCGTTAGATATCACACGGTGGAGTCGTCGGGTAAAAGTTTTACCTCAATGAGTGGCTCAACAATTATTCCTAGCATCTAGCATTCTTCCTCTTTCTTCATCGCCAAGAGTTTCAAGTATTTTTTACGAACGATTCCTTATGTAACGAAAAATCAGTGAAGTAAGACTAAATATCAGGATGGGAATGCAAAGAAACTTGTAAAAAAGTGGAAAAACAAGACGTGAAAGATAAAAAAAATGATGAGCAATTCTGAGAACAAAGAGACGCATGGAGAAGGACGAGGAGCAGTGGAGGATACAGCAGGAGTATTCAGTGGAGGATATGGCGAATGCTAACGAGTCTGGGACGAGAGATACACGAGTAAAATGAGCCTGGAATGTACACTCGTGTAGCTGGAATACAGGTACATGTTACTACGACAACTGCAGGTATCAAGAGAGCTGGTTGGTTCTCGGAGGCAAGGTGAAAGCGCATATTGCGCGTTCTGTTGGTTTCTCAGTCTCACTCTCAGTCACGGGCGAACCGGCACTAACGGCCCAACTTATTTCAAGTTGTACTTGTCTCCCAGTGGTGTAACTAGTTAGTGACAGATTGTACCTCATCGTCAAGCACAATCCCCAGTCCCTTTCCATGGCACTCTTCATTCCAGCCAAGACGAGAGACAATCAGACCAGCGGATAAAACAAGTTATCGCATAATAGCGACAATGAGGCAGAACCTGAAGACACTGTCGAGGAGACCAAATACACAAGGTACACAATGAGAGGAAAAAATATTGAAATTTATTTACTTATGTCACGTTAATGTTCTGTATATTCTGAATTTAAATTTTCTGATTATCAGTACATTTACTCGGGAAAGGGAATGATTTATCTCAGTGAAACGAGAGACGAGACATTTTTTGAATTGCTTTGGTAAAATTGAAAGTCCAATTGGGCAAGTGGTGAGATCATTTTTATTGACCTTGAATGATTTTCAAGTGGCTGTGAGCCTTGGTACGGGATCGGTTCTCCTTGTTGGATCGTCTGAGTCTTCGGGTGGGACGAGGGACGGGGAAATGTGGAGAGATTGTAGTGCGATGACAACGAGGAGCTCTGAAAATAATGGGATCAGTCACCAGGATGGACAGCCTACCATCAACGCCACTCAGGGTCTTGTCCAGCTGAGAACAGTCGATCGGGATGAGGCCTCTGTGGATACCCAGGAGACATCCTGTTACGTTCTTGAAGGTCTCACCGAGAATGATTCTAATGCGATTAGAGTAGAGACATGAACAATTCATTTGTTATTTAATCTCATTTATTCATGTAACCGTGGAATATTAATAAAATATTGCCATAAAGTTGTGTCAATCAGTTTTAATCGCCGCCCGAAATACCGAGATTTTATTAATTTTTTTTTTCTCGTTATTGATAATGAAAAATTTATCAACAGATACAGCATCTGATGATTCGAATTACGAGACTCTCTGCTCAGAGCCGAGCGAGTCGATTAGAGCAGTTGAAAGCAGTATTGAAAATTTGATGGAGAGTCCAGCTGTCCAGGAGGCACCATCGAGACCTGTTCCACCACCACCGAGAGAATCCAGTCTCACAGAGACATTTGGCAAGCGAATTAAAATGTTACGGCGTACGTGGAGCATCACCAAAGGAAGTCTCGGTCGCATGCGTCGAAAAACATCGACTTCTGCGGATCCAATTGATTCAAATATTGACGATGTGCCACTGAAATCATCGAGTTGTGAAAACTATCAAAGTGATACGAGAAAGTCCAGTCAAACTTTCAATTTGCGAAAGCATTTTCAGAGGAATGTGTCGTCCCACTCGACGTTTTACCTCGATAATGAGAATGAAATTGGAAAAAATAATAATGAGAGCATCTACAAAATATATGGTACCTCTAATTGGTACGGGGATTCGGACTCCTGGAAGACAGATGATACACCTAGGCACCAGCTTGATAATTCAGGTGAGTTTTTCTTGTTTTTTTTTATTCCAATGAATTTATTGTTTCCGTATTCGTATCGCATCGAAAGACGATCCTTTTACGGATTCTATTCTTCGGGGAAAGTGTTTCACTCAGCATTTTCACTCAAGTTCAATGTACACTGGAATATTTTACTCATATTATAATGTAATTGTTTCTCTTTTCTGGAGGAATGCAGATGATTACAATATGCTAGCTGAAGAACCGCTCTATCAGTTCTACGCAGCTGCGACAGTAAGAGGGGCATTTCAGTCAGATTCCGATAGTAATTACGGTGAGGATGACATCAATTCAATTTTTTCGCCATCAACTTCGGAATTGGGAAGACCAGGGCACAGGACTTTGTGGTGTGAAACACCACAGGTGAAAAATACTCAACTACTTGGTGAGTATTGTAAAGAATTTTTCAATTAGAAACTTTAAAAATCTTCACTATCATTTATCTTCTCCTCCAGAAAAATTGACAAACGACGAGAAGAAACTCCAAGAAGCGAAATTTGAGATCCTGACGTCAGAGGCTTCATACCTAAATTCCCTTCGAGTACTTGTCAATGAGTTTTTGATAAATCATGAGCTAGTTTACGAGGTCCTCTCTGTGGCAGATCGTGAGAAGCTCTTTGGTAAAGTTCCAAATGTCCTGATAGCCTCGGAGAAATTTCTCGGGGAGTTGGAAGCGACTTGGCGACAGGATCCACTGATGCGTGGTCTTCCAAATGTTCTCCTCCAACATGCCGAGCGGTGCTCCAAAATCTACATCGATTATTGCTCCAACCAAGTCAGCATAGACTCCACATTGAGAGAGTTGAAATCGAGAAAGAGTAAATTTTTGGAGACTATTATGAGGATCGAGGCGCATCCGGCATGCCAGAGTCTCTCATTGCACTCATTTTTGATGCTACCTATGCAGAGGGTGACGAGACTGCCACTCCTGGCAGATGCAGTATTATCAAAACTCTCGACAGATCACGATGAGCGTCTGCACTGGGAGAGAGTTGTGTCAGTTTTAGGTGGAGTTGTTACAGAGTGTAATGAGGGGGCGAGAACAGCTGGACGTCAAATAGAAATGGAGACACTAGCTAGAAAACTCGTCTACTCAGCCAAAGTACCTCCAGTGGATCTTCGTGGGAGACATCTGGTCAGAAGTGGGCCAGTTACCCAGATGATGGCCAAATCTGGCAGTGAATATGTCCTCACATTCAGAAAAAAATATCAAAAGACACCTCTGTACCTTCTACTCCTGACTGATCACATTCTCGTGGCTAAATGCAAAGCCAATTCCAGTCAGGAAGACACGTACACTGTCATCGATACCAGCAAAAGGAGTCTCGTGGAGCTGGAGAAGGTGCCCGATGACTCTCCATTTGCAGAAAGGTACGCCATGATTCTTACGTTGCTTGAGAATCATAATGGGAAACATGTGGAGTACATATTGTCCTGTCAGAATGGAACTGAGAGGGAGAGATGGCTGGATGCAATGTCACCTCCAGTATCTAGTTCTGTTGGAGAAACTCTTTATGAATCTTGGGATTGTCCTCAAGTTATGGCATTGTATTCTTATGCACCGAGTCAGCCTGATGAATTGTCTCTGCAACCTGGGGATGTGATAAATGTTGTGAGGAAGATGGCAGACGGATGGAACCACGGGGAGAAGCTCGTGGGTGGTGAACAGGGCTGGTTTCCTGGGAATTTCGTCAAGGAAGTTGCCTCTGAGCACGTCAGGGCCAGGAATTTGAGACAACGACACAGACTCTTGGCACTCAGTGAGTGCTTACTGCAGCAGAGGGCTAAACAGTCCATTAATTCTAATCGATAATTGATATTGTTGAGTAATCAATTAATAATACCGAATATAAATTCATATATTGATTCTCTGGAGTATTCAAAAAATTGTATATACATGTGTTGCTATAAAATAGGAATGTTTGTATCTGTTGAATAAATCCATGTTTATGAAAATATATTTTTAAATTCCAGTGGGCTATGATTCTATGGTAGTAAAATGCAATGAGATTAAAAGAGAGAAAGAAAGAGTAAAAGCTTTGCAAATCAGTCAAAATTGAGGACGAGTACGAGTATGAAATTTCAAAATTGATATTAAGAATTAAATACGCATTTTTGAATGCCCCGATGGTTTTACGTCGAACAGTTTTCTCACGAAGTAGACTTGCAGTACTGTTGTCGATATTATGACCATCATTTGTACAATTGACCATCTCTGTACGTAAACGTTATTATCTAGCAGTAAATTCAGGTCTCGAGCCTCTCTGCTTCTACTTGCGTGCTGGGACTGCAGCATTTCGTTAATATTCTTCTCCACATTCACGATCGTCGTCTGTGAAGATAAAAATAATTATTTGCAATAATTGTACAATATACTCGTGGGAGAGTTATTTCAAAGTGAAAATTACCGTGAAATTTTCCACTGAGAGGTTCAACTCTTCTAATTCTTTCGTGAACTTGTCCCACTGATCGTATCTGAAAGAATAATAATTCAGTATTCATGTCTCACTATCAGCGATAATTATCATCTGAAAAAATACCTGATAACTGTGATATAGAGGTTGACGAGTTTAGCAGCAAATCTAGAGAACTGATTATCAATACAGACGCTGTAATAACCACCAACACCTGATTGGTCTTGATAATCAGCATTGGCTCGCCACTGATATGGATGAACTATTTCACCAACTGGATTTCGCACAGCAAATCCGGCCTTGCCATCACCACCTCTCAGCACCTGCAGAAACACAATGGAAAACATGAGAAAACATTAAATCCAATAATAAAAAACAATAGCACCAGGCGATTATTTATCGTTCAAATAATCAGGGACTGGCCATATGGGTCATAGCCCTCTGTAGATGATGTGACGTGGCATGAAATTTCATAAAGTATATCACAAAATTTTCAGTGAATTTCCAATTTTGCCTGCAGCTATTGGAGTTTTCTTTCTCTTATTATTAATGAGAATTGTGAGAGGCTCTCAGAGAATTTAATTAGTTTATTAAATGAGCACCTGAAAACTGACGAAAAATGTTGCTCCGGGATTAACGTATTGGAAGTAACAGTCCTCTTTGCCGGCGTCAATGTGAACTTTATAATCCATAGCAACAGCTGGAAGTGTCTCATACCACGGTCTCGTTGTTTCACAATTAACCAGGACAATTAACGTCCCGGTTATTAACAAGCACTCGAGTAGTTTCATTGAATCTATTGGCTTGTCATCATCTGACGACTAGTTTCTCCACGTGTAACAACAGGTGAGGGATCGAAGGAGTCGATGAGGATTTTTTTTCATAGAGAAAGTACACCTCCCACTTCTCTTCTTCACATCATTTTTTTTCATCAATCTGCGAATTGGAGCATCGAGCACAAATTATCTCTAAAAAAAAACAATTTTGTATCATTCAACTTTTTAACTCTTAACAATATTGCGAGTAAACATTGTTAAATTTACCTGATGATTGTAATTGCGGTTTTACAACAATTATTTTTCTAGTTGACATTTCCTTCGTTAACTAATAATAATAGGAATGCGCTCTATATAACCGACATGATTAGTGCATATATATCATATATGTGTATATAGCTATATGTACTAGTACATAGTTCCTTCTTATGGCTCCTAGAGAGCAAAATAATAAGTTTTATATGGAAAATTATATCTGAACCCCGAAATTGAGTTTTAGGTTCTTTAGTCTATTTGAATTGATGGAATTCACGGAAAATAATATCAGCACATCTTGAAGATTCAGAAATCATTAACACGTGGTGTTTTTACAATTTTGCGCTCCAACACCATCAAGAGTAAACAAAAACAACAACTCATGAAGAAAGTGTGAGGCAATTACCCCCGAGAATGACAAGTAAGTGTTAAAGCTTCTGCAAGTCTTGAATTTCAACTTGCGAAAGAAATTTCTGCAAAAGCTCCAGCAAAAGGTTCCAGCGAATTAGCTGTAGCATCACTCCACGAAAAATTCAATTGAATCAATTCCTGATGGAGGAAATATCGAAAGAGGACCTGGAGGAGCTCCGGGAGAAGTACCTGAAAGTGCGAAAGCTGCTGGATGAGCCCCAGGACGAGAGCAACCCCGGGGAAGGTCCAGACACAGCAACGAAGAACAAAGCAGTTGGTATTCTCAATGAAATGAAGTCGAAATTGGAAAATCTCCTGAACAACTCGTCTTCGCCGAGGAAAGATATTCGCTCTAGTCTGGCAGTGGTGTACTTGAATATCGGTATAATCAACATCGACAACGAGGAGTTGACAGACGCTGAGGAGCACCTGGTGAGGTGTACGGAGGTGTTGAAGAGCTTGGAGCTGGCCCCAGAGGGCATTCTTCCTTTTCTCAGCACGATGAATCAGCTGACGATCGTGTGGTTTCTGCGTAGTGAATTTGAGAAGGCAAAAACATTCGCTGAACGCGCCGAGAGCTTGTACAAGAGGTACAAAGCCCTGGTGCCACCTGAAACACCAGTTGGTATGTCCGAAGTATTTGGGATAGATAATGCTGACGAGCCTGCACCCAGTGATGTCCTGGAGAAGCTCCACACTCTGACTCTCTATTACCTCGCCCAGATCCACCGGTTCTTCAAGGATCACCAGCAGGCAGCACTCTATTGCCACATGACACTCGAGAGGCAGCTGGTGTTTACGGATTTGAATTACATCGACTGGGCACTGAATGCTGCCACTTTGTCTCAGTACTTCACGGAGTACAAACAATTCCCACAGGCTCGACATCATCTTGCAGCTGCTACTCATATCTTGGGGATTTATCAGGAGAATTTGAGGGAAGCTGATGAAAAGGCCAGTGAGAGTGAGGAGATCAGGGCTGCCAAGTGGGAGCAATTCAGACATCGGAGTGCGGATGTTGCCAGGTAAGAGGAGACTATTTACACCTCAAAACAATTTATTTTATCAATCATTAGTTCATTTTCTGGCAAGTAATTAAATTATTTCCAGGTGCTGGGCAAAGTACGGAATTCTCTTGATGAGCATGTCCAGAGATCGCCTGATCGACCTCAACGACAGAGACGACGACGAGAAGGAACTTGAGATAAATTTAATGAAAATCAACGATGATCTAGTCCAGACCATGAAATTCGAAAAATTGGAGAAAGAGATTGAGCCCATAGAGGAGCAGATTACAGACAAATTTCTCCTGGACTTCAACGACGCCAGGAAGGTCTTCCTTAACGTCCAGAAGTGGCTGGAGGATGCGAAGAAATATTATGCCCTGGAGACTCACGCCTCTGATTACGTCCACATCGTCCAGGACGTCTCCCAGAGTTACAAGTACTTGTCCTTCTTCGAGGAGGACGACGACCGACAAGCCAAGATGCACAAGAGACGGATTGACGTTCTCGAGGAAGTAATCAAGGAGTTGAACCCCAGGTACTATCAAACTGAGTGTCGACAGATCTGGATCGAACTCGGGGAAACATCTTCAGCGATTCTCGATATTAAATTAGACAAGCTGAAGGCCAGTGACGAACGACCGACTCCTCATGCCCTCAACAAAATTAATCACCTCGCCAAATCGGGGATTAACTACTACCAGAAATTCTTGGACTCGTTGAAGGAAAATGAGACATCACCAAGTGTCAAGGAGTTCCCCAAGGAACTCGTGAAACCTGCCCTCATCGCTTATTTCCATATTGGCACGTTTTACAATAAAATTGTCACTCCGGATAAATTGGTACAGCTGAATAATCTCAAGGCCAGTGTCGAGGCCTATAAGTTTCTCGTGGAATATTGCAAGCGAGATGAGGAAGCTGCTCAGTTCATGCAGGCTGAATTAAATGTTTGCAAGGATCTTGTTAATTTGTTACCATTAAAAGTTGATAAATTGACGCAGTCACTTCATGCATCGTAAAATGTCTATTTTTTATTTTTCTTTAGGAAATATTTGTGAATTTTTCCTGATGCAAATATTTCAATCATTTTCAATCGTTTCAGCCAATAGGAGAAATTTGAAAAATCGGTAATTGGTGCGTTAATTAATATAGTCATTATTGGAAATATCGGGATAGATTCATTCAATAAACAAACATGATCTCCAATTTTTTGAATTTAGGGTTTTCTAATTTCATAATAGGAATGAAACATTACGAAATTACAATAAATAAAAGTGAATTATTGTATTTTTCTACAACTCACGTTAGTATTGTTTTTACTGAAATTTATTATCGTTTATTTATTCTTTGTTGTGGTTTTTGATGTACCAACTTATACAGAAGCTATTGTGGAAAATAGATGAATAAAAATACTCAAACGAAATAATATTCACTTCCAAGTGGAAACTAGAAAAAAACAATTTAAAGGTAGTATTGGTAATTAAGGATGTCTCGCGTGTTGTCTAGTCTCACGTTTCCATGGCTTCCATCGTCGCATCTTCCATAGGGGTGTCAACTGGAGTTTCCACTGGAACGTCTTCAATTGGAGATTTTTGTAACGTGTATTGTCTCTTCAATTTTTCGTAGTTTTTCTTTTCCTACGGCAAATCAATATCATAAACATTATAACAACAGTTCAATTATCACTGGCAACCTACATTGCCCTGCACAATTGTATTTACCTTATCCTTAACCGATGGTTGTATTTTCTTAAAGGCTATATCGAAATGTCTCTGATGGACTTCAGTGATTCCCGAAGAATTGACCATTGATTCTTTGAACGCTTGGATACTGGCCTCCTTCACGAGCGATCCAAGATCCGCTCCAGTGAATCCCTCACAAACTTCACTTTTTCCAATAGCTTCTAGGTCCACATCCTCAGCAAATTTGGGTTTCGTCCCATTCTGAAAATTCAGAAATATGAGGTTTAAAATCATAATAATTACTCTCTTGGCTTAAATAATAGGAAATTATAAAAGCCTGACCTTGGTGAGAGCCTTGAGGATATCGACCCTGTCCTCTCCAGTGGGCAGGCCTACATAAAGAATTTTATCAAACCGTCCAGGTCTCATAACAGCAGGATCAATGATCTCAGGTCTATTGGTAGCAGCCATCAAGTAAACGTTCTTCCTCCCCTCGATACCATCCATTTCCGTGAGCACCTGATTGACAACCCTGGATGTAGCTGAGTTGTCGCCAGTGGTCCTCACCGGACAGAGTGCATCAAGCTCATCGAAAAATATAACACAAGGCGCCGAGTCTCTAGCCCTGACAAAACACTGCCTGACAGCCTTCTCGCTCTCCCCCACGTACATACTCAGGAGCTCTGGTCCCTTCACGGAGATGAAGTTTATCTCAGCCTCATTGGCAATGGCCTTGGCCAACAGTGTCTTTCCACAGCCGGGAGGTCCACACAGGAGGACTCCACTGGGTGTTGTCAGGCCAAATGTCTCAAACTCCTTAGAATACTTGACAGGGGCAAGGATGGCCATCTGCAGCTCCTCCCTGATCTCCCTGAGGGAGCCAATGTCCTCCCAGGTGACATCAGGAACAGTGGCGAAGCCCTCCCTCTTGGAAGAGGGCTGGACAGCCTTCACAGCGACATCAAAATCAGATCCCTCTATCTTAAGGCCTGCTATCTGCTCTGGAGTCAGTGCAACATCACTGTGAAGAATTTTCAAAAGTCTCTCCAGCTCCTTCGTCGCCTCCTTTTCATCCTCCTCCAACGGCTTCTCCACGTTCTCCACGTCTTTGTCCATCTCCATTTCCTTTTCTGTTTCCTTTTCCATCTCCTTTTCTGTTGTCTTTTCCACCTCTTTCTCCCCAGTGCCCTCGCCATTTGTCGTCTGGGGTAGACTCGTATCCTCCTTGAGATCAATCACCTCTGGCTCCTGATTCTCCACGATCTCCTTCTCCACAACAGTCTCCATGGAGTTCTTCTCAGAATCCGTCACCTGTTCTGGATCCTTTTCAACAACCTGTTCAGGCACCACCTCAATAATTTTCTCCTCAATCTTCTCCTTGTCCTCCTGATGCTTGAGTACACGATCAACAGCTGCGATTGCAGCCTCCCTGATAATAGAAACGAGATCTGCCCCGACACACCCAGGGGAGACAGCAGCAATCTTTGCCAGGTCAATTTCCGGTGTGAGCTTCAATGTCTGTGAGTGAACCTTGAGAATATTCTCCCTTGTCTTTTTATCTGGAATGCCGAGAGCAATTTCCCTCTCAAACCTGCCAGCTCTTCTCAGCGCTGGATCCAATACCTCAGGACGATTTGTCGCTCCGAGAACAAGTACCTTGTCCCCATTCTCTTTGCTCCCCAGGTCATCGAGACAGGCCAGTAGCTGTGTAACTATTCTCCTCTCCATTTCCTTCTGAGCATTTGCCCTGTGGGGGGCCAAGGTGTCAATTTCATCGAAGAACAGAACACAGGGAGCCAGAGCCAGGGCCTGATCAAACAGCTCTCGAATTTTCGACTCACTCTCCCCAGAGAGTCCACCAATGAGTTCAGGAGGGGCTATTTTAAGTATAGGAACACCCAACTCTCCAGCAATGGCATTAGCCAGAAGAGACTTGCCACATCCTGGGGGTCCATGAAGCAAGAGTCCTCGTGTGGGTGTCACCCCGAGCTCCCTGAAGATAACCGAGTGCTTCATGTGTATGAGAATACGACAGACAGTCTCCAAGACCTTGACATTCCCTCCAATATCGGAGAACTTGGGAGTCCTGGCAACTGCTGGTCTCACCTGGAGATCTTTCCTCCTTTTAGGAAGAGGTAATTGCTCGGTACTCTCCCTCATTCGTTTCTTAGAAAGTGGCTTCAGTGGAGGCACCTCCGGCACTTTCCTTCCCTCGTCATTCAATCCCCTGGACTCCTTCTGAGTCTTTGAGATGGTGCAGGAGTGAATCGTTTTGGGAATTTTCGTCACTTCAACACTGTTCTTCAAGGTCATAGGATTATCCTCGTGATCGTCATCACTGCTGATGTCTATGAGCTCTTTGTCACTGGAATTTCCATTGTGATCACCCACCATTGCTTTACTATACATCTTCACTATCTCATTGTTCATCGAGCCCGGCTCCAGGTCCGACTGCACCTCCACGTCATCCAGGTCTTCCTGTCTGGACATACTCTCGGTTATCTTGTCGTAGGCACGTCTCACAACTACCCTGAATGGTCCTCGTTTCTTTGTCCTGTAGTCACTGTACCTCTTCTGGAGATTATCAGCCATATCGTTGACGTCTATGTAGATCTGATCCTCGTTGTCAAAGAGGTACTTCTGGACGCGCTCCAGGAGCAGTCGCTCTCGAGGAAGATGACTCTGACGCTCCTCCATACCGCGATAAATTCTACCGTCTTCACTGCTTGCACCCTGAATCGGAATTATATCGATTGATGAGTTTAGTTTACGCATTTTTGGATATTTGTCGTTCATTTTACACGATTGTTGCGATTCTAATAGCTCTGAGGCTTCTGAGGTTTGGTTGTCTACACCGATAAACAGTCGAGGACAAGACAGCCACGCGATGGGGTAAACCGGCAATTCTTGGGGAATTTCTGTTGTTGCCTTCTTTTTTTTTTATCGCTGGAAAATACACTGGAGATTTGTCCAGGAGTTGAGACTTACCCTGTGCATTCAGGATTGAGGATGACTATTCTTCTCTTGTCCTTTGGATGTCCTGAAGAGTTCCCGAGGCGTCAGTAAGAATCCAGAGATGATTCTCCCAATTTTTGGAGATCGTACCAATCACACGATCGCTTCGATAAAAAAACCCTAGGAGGGGATTTTCGGTTTTGTCGGGGAAGGGGAAGGGGAAGACACTACGTGAGCTGATGAACAATTTTGCGTTTAAAATGGCTTGAATGGAGCAATTTCAGGAGAATGGATCGTTTTTGGAATTCGAAAAGTTTTTACAATTTTTCGAGGAATTTTCAGTGGCGGTTGAAGCTATTTTTATGTGATTTCCTGTTGGTCATGGGTTTGGAAGTTGATTTGACTTCCGATGGGGCAGAATGAGGGACTCGATCAGCCATCGTTCTTTTCTTTCCGGTCATCATGGTACGTATGCTACTCGTGGAATGAAGTTCTCGATTTCTTGGATTAATGGGGTCAAGAGGTGATAATTATTTTAAAGTCGGTTTTCACGGGATTTCGGGGGTTTCAGACGAGTTATTTAGGTCTAGGGGTAGTGGAGGGTTTTTTATATGGAGAAAATTGTTTTTTGGGTTTAGGGTGTCAGACCACATGGTCCACTGTCGTATGTGAAATTTTTCAGGCTCAAATCCTCTGGTTTTCGTTTATTTCGTTGATTTTCTCGGTTTTTAATTGTCAGCTGATGATTTTGACGTTTTGGAGGTAACGGGTTGCTGATTCTGGTGAATCTAATCTGGGGTTTAGGTTAGAATCATTATGGCGTTGGGAAGCCACTTTGCAATTTAAATGTTATCTTTTTTTTGGTGGTGATGGATTTTTGAGGGATTTGTCGGGCTTTTTAGGGTTTAATTAATGGTTTTGGATTTTTCTAGGGGTTCGAGAGGTTTGTGGAGTCTGGCCGTGTGGCATACATCAGCGAGGGCCCGTACCAGGGTAAACTAGCTGCCATCGTCGACATCATCGACCAAAACAGAGTGAGCAGTATTTTTTAAATAATTTTAGCAATTGCAAATTTTTTTGAATTACTACCAAATAGACAGTTCAAATATTCTCCTATTAAGAAAATTTAACACAATTAATAAGAGAATAAATTTATTTTGTGGAGAGAATATTTTTCGATATTTTTCTCGATAATTTTATTCATTTTGCAGAGATTTATTAAATTAATTTGATTGTATGATGAACCTTTGTTCTTGATAGGAATTGCCGGCTGACATTTCTGATGCCACAAACATTATCTGAAATAATTATTTAATGAGATCAAAGTCGTGGGTTTGTGGGTGTGATTGTCTGATGGAGATTTTCATGGTTTTCAGGTTCTGATTGATGGACCTGCGTCGGGAATCCCCAGGGGGCAGATTAGATTGAGTCAGCTTCACCTGACGAAATTCTGCATTAAATTCCCGTACACTGGCTCCACGAGGGTTGTCAGGAAAGCATGGGAGAAGGCCCAGCTTGATGAGAAGTGGAGCCAAACCATGTGGGCTCGCAAGGTCGAAGCCAAGAAGAAGGTAGAGACTTCTGTTAATTTTTCATAATTTTCTAAAATCTTTAACTAACCATTTTAAGATTTAATTAATTCCCCTTTCAAATGCCGATTCGTCTCCTGCTATCATTTCATATAATTTCAATGATTAATTAATTAATTTGGATTTTAGCGGGCTGAGTTGAGTGATTTCGATCGCTTCAAGCTCAGAAAAGCTCGCCAAGTCCGCAACAAATTGAGGACAGAAGCTTTCTTCACACTTAAGAGAGCCATCAAGAAGAAGGCGAGGCCAGCAAAGGGCGCCGCTAAAACCATCAAGAAGACGACGACAAAACCAGCAAAGAAGTAAAAATATAAATTTTGAATAAATGTTCTTTGAAAAAAAAACAAACACTCGATTTCCCTTTATTCACATCCCTCAATAATTAAACTAGAAATCGGAATTAATTCACTGATTCGATTTATTATAAGGAATAATTTGACAAATTAAATTATGGACTTATGCCATTATTTATTTACGAATTCAACACTTTCTTTAACGAGTACATATCATGATACAATAATTACATCATAAATTCGATCATACAGAAAGATATGAAACTATCAACTATGTATATAAAGAAAAAATTTATAGGAAGAATAAACTAATTGACGTGAATATTAATTTTAAATGTTTGTCTAGAAAAGTATTCAATTTTAGTATTGATTGATAAATTTATAAAAAGACAAGTCATTAACCGAAATTTTGTTTTAATTTGTTGCATTGAAAAATAAGTTTGATCGAAAGGGATTTTCCCTTGATAATTTGCTTCTGAGTTGAGTAAGTCTAGACTTCATTGTTCAGGAGCTTCTTGTCATAGAGGAATTCACCCAGAGGCCCATGGGTGGTCATCATTTTACCAAGGGTGGAGATCTTGCCAGCGAGGTCACGCTGGCCCTTATACTGCTCATCCAAGAAGTCGCCAGTGAGATAATCAACGAGCTGGAACAGAATAATTTTCCATTATCAATTTTATTGCCCCAAAAATTAATTTGACTTAGGAAATTAATTCTCACGTGATAATCGTTGAAGTCTGAAGTCTTGGGTGCCTCGCAGGTCTTGATGATCTCTCGGATGCTGCTGGTGACCTTGGCTTCAACGGTCAGTGCCTCACTGAGTGCCGCCACTGCTGTGGACCACTCCTCACGAGGAGTTTTCTGCAAATAGAAATATCATTTCCAATTCAAGATGAGATATTCATACTAAATCATTAAATGTCGAGAAAAATAATTAATCATTTCCAATTATCTTCCAGGAGAATAAAGATAAAATACCCATTGTGACGACTTTGTTTACTTGACAGACAAAAATTGGCACGTGGACCGAATTACCCAATGCAATGCAACACTGGGAAACTCACCAGTGGGAATTTCAAGAGCTTGCCGACGTCAGAGGTGAGCTGACCACGCATTAGCAAGTACTCGATGATTTTTATGGCATGTTCACGCTCTTCGCTCGCTGCTTCGAAAAAGAATTTGCTGAAACCTGGACGATTCACAGAGTCTTTCGCAAAATGAGCACCCTGCACAGAAATTTGGATAATTAATTAAATTTAATGAGATCAGTCCATGTTGTTTTTCAGAGAATAATAATCCTTCGATTTGCTGTACCATTGCCAGATAAGTCATCGCAGCTTGAATCTCAGTCTGGACCTGATGTCCCATGATCCTTATACAGGGGTCCACCATGTCCAGCCAGTCTGATGGAATGTCAGCCGGCTTCAGGGTACCTAGAATAATTCATCAATTATTATCTCCAGGAATCTGCGAGTAATTGAAATAAAAATAGATAATTTTGAAATATATAGATTTTTTTAATTAAGGTTGTTGTCGCGCGACAGTCTCTGTAAAAAGTTTATCCGCTGTAAAACGGACAGTTTAGAACACAATCTTTTAGCGGTATATAGTCTCACTTGATTGATTGCATTGTGCATGGATAGCTAAAGCATAACTATATATTTGCCATATTAACTATTTTCAATTACATAAATTTATGAATTTCCGATAATTATATTCCGTAAACCAAACGGTCAATCGATTTGATTTTTTTTTCTGTATTTCCTCCCACGATGTATATTCCACGTTTTTTTTTATTTCTGAAACTGTCGAGCCGTTGATTTTTAAAAAATTCTAATCGGCAAAACTCCATTTAAACACGTGTTAAATCACTCGAATTTCAAAAATTTATATCTCAAGTTCAAAACGGTTAATTGCAAACGGAAAAGGCTCATTTTGTTGCTAATTTTTCAAACTATTCACCATAAAATTTTTAACGAAAACTGTCGAAAAAAAATTCTACGCAACAACAACCTTAAGGGCTGCATGGACTATCGATCGAATGTTATCTTTTGTTTAAATTTTATCCGGTTAGCCTGAAATATATCGAAATTCGGGATCGAATTTGTGTTACAGGCACCACTCGAATGGTTATAAAAAGATAATAAAAAAAAAAGAGGAAAAGTTATTGAAGGGCGCTAAATAGCGATATTGATGGGAAAGGATTTACCGAGTTCACAAAAAAATAAAAAATACGCAGCTTACTACTGCTGTCCACTGGATTCAATGACAGCTTCAATGACAGGCGCAATCGTAAGCTGCGTATATTTTTTATTTTTTTTTTTTGTAAACTTGCTAAATCCTTCTCCATCAATATCGCGATTTACCGCTCTTCAATAATTTTTCCGCTTGTTTTCCATTATATTTTTATAACCATGCAACTGGTTCCCGCAACACAAATTTAATGCCGAATTTTAATACTTTCCCGCACTCCGCTTCGCTTCCCGTGTCTGGAAAGTGACTTTCCCGCACATCTCGATGAAAAATATTCTTCACAACTCGTGCAGAAAGTTGTTTTTGATATGTACAATTTTACCACTCGCCTTCGGTCCGTGCTATAAACTTCCCACACGCCAAAAATCACTTTTCCGCACTCGTTATGAAATATCCTATTATTTCACTCAAGTCTTCTAGTCGACTAAAAAAAATTAAATAAACGAAAAAAAAAGAACAAAAAGTAAAATTTCCAAAAGATTGAAAAATAATTTAAGGCCCGCATGGACCACACGCCAAAAATCACTTTTCCGCACTCGTTACGAAATATCCTATTATTTCACTCAAGTCTTCTAGTCGACTAAAAAAAATTAAATAAACGAAAAAGAAGAACAAAAAGTAAAATTTCCAAAAGATTGAAAAATAATTTAAGGCCCAATAATTAGAATAATAATAAGAATAATTAGAAGTAATTAGAAGTCCCAATTTAAAATTGGGACTTCTAATTACTCCGTCAATTAATCCTTTTTTCCGATAATTATTAGCTAGCGGCCTAGTGGCTGACAACCGCTAGAACGCTAGCTAACAATTATTGAAAAAAACGATTAATTGCCAATGTAATTAGGAATCCGAATTTCGGAGTAAATAATCTTTTCTAGATAATCCACCCGAGCCTTAATTAATATTTAAAAATTATTTATCAACTCTAGATGAATCACAGTTAATCCCCCAGTGAAATATAATCTCAAAAACCAGAGAGGAAAATTAAAAAAAAAACAAAATTTATATAGAAAATGTAAAAAATACTCAATTCCCATTTTGATTGGAATTTCTTTTTATATTTTATGTTATATTATATCATATATATATATTATAGCTTATATATTTATATTATATTTTACTGGACTCTTCGGGCTCGAGATAATCTTGGGGATTATCCATCCACGAAGATTCTTTAATAAACTCGCTATCTTTGCATCGCCAGAGTATCTGCTTACTCGATTCAACTCGAATAATTGTACTCTATTCTTTACCTATTAAATAAATCAGAGAAATCAGTACTTCCCATTGTGACTCAATGGGATATACAGCGATGGAAATAGAATATGATAAGGTCTTCTAGAGCAAGGACTTTGGAATTTGTATCGGGGAAAATTATTCACGCCCAGTTGGTGACTCCTACATTTTTATTCGCCGTGTTATCGCTTTGGCAACTGTTTGAATAAATGTCAAAAAAAATTTGTATGGTATCACGATGTGATAGGAGAATATTTTTCTTCTGGTATTGATCTGTCCTCGAATGACAGGCGATAAACCAAACTATTTCGTAATCCAAAAGTTTTCATCAGAAATTCATTTCCTTCATTGCAAAATTATGGAAAATCATTACAAAATTATGAATAATAAAACTATATACTAGTGTCGGAATGCTATTTAAATCCCCGAGAATATTTAAATGCATTCACTTCATAAATTAAATAATTCACAATATCGGAATCTATAAATTCCTCTGTATCACTGATAAATCGAGAAATAAATTCCTTAAATTATTTTTCACGATTAATCAAATCAGAAATTCATTTCCTTCAGTGCAAAATTATGGAAAATCATTGCAAAATTATGAATAATAAAACTACATACTAGTGTCGGAATGCTCTTTAAATCCTCGACAATATTTAAATTCATTCACTTCATAAATTAAATAATTAAAAATATCGGAATCTATAAATTCCTCTGTATCACTGATAAATCGAGAAATAAATTCCTTAAATTATTTTTCACGATTAATCAAATCAGAAATTAGATCTCATGCTATCTAATCTGGAATCGATACGTGTAAAGCGTCAGGTAAAATTTCATCAATTAATCGTCCATTGAAAAAAAATCACATATTCTCATACTCTCGATATGATTTTCAATAAATCCTCTTATCACCGGTGATAAGTATTCGTTGTCAATATCCAAGCGATGGAATGTGGATCCCTGCAAGTTATCCTTGAGAATGTTCCCACGAAAAAAACGTGAAACGAGTGATAAACTATTGGCTTCCACGAAACAACAACAATAGCGAATAAAATTCGTATTTGCGAGTGAAATTCGCGGAATAATTACGACTCTGGCATCAGTCGTATCATAACAAGTGGTCACTAGACAAAGACCAGATGAAATTAGCTCGTGTTAGATGATAATTCATCTCCTCATAATCTCACACCCAATAATCTGAATCATTTCCGCCGTTTATTCTTGCTTTAACTGAAATAAATGCAAAATTGGATATTTATTAGTCATTCGATGACGCACAGTGAATGAACTTTCGCTCTTTCTTTATCTCTACGAACAGAAATTATTGAATCATGCTGTGATGACTTACTAAATAAATCTGCCATGGAAGAATTATCTGAAACTCATTTCTACTCCAAAAACAATGAAAACAATTAACAAAATATGAAAATCGTTCTGAGAATAAATAATTATCAATTGAATTCGACTGAATTCTTCAGATTCTTTCCAGGAGGAATTCTGAGGAATCAGTGTCAGAGATAAATTCGTCATTTGAGACATTTTTTTTTTCTGTCGATGCTGTTCATATTTCAGAGTTGAAAAAGAATGAGAACTCACACTTCAATCCATCCCCAACAGCAACCGAAACACAGATCATTCCGAAAATAAATGCCCCCAGTAGCTTCATGATTGCGATAATTGATGGTGCACCGAGTAGAATGTAAATTGCAAAAAAAAAACAACGTAATGATAGAAAACTTGATTTTAGATTCGACGAACGTTCACCAAGGAACCTTTATACACACTGGTATAGAAGGTCGTCCTCTCTCAACCGTTAATCAACAAATATATCAATGAGCGAGGCGTTTTGAGTTCTCAGCCATTGGCCACTTGAAAAAAAAAAAAACAAATGTTGTATTCTCGCAAAACGAACGCACACTAGAGCATGATAAAGGGATCTCCACGAAATAAACTCGACTTGTAGACATTTCCGTCGCAGTTGTCGATGTGCGCATGCGCCAGTGAATCACCTGGTATGATTTTCTGAACAGCACAAATTCTTGGTCAGTACAGTAAAGCGTCGAAGCGAGAGTATTCACGCTCTTACTACAGACAAAATATTATTTGTAAGTATTTTGTCGTTTTTGGATTTGTTAGTATATATCTAAAACGACACTTTCCCGCTCATCATTTTTTTACTGAACAATTGATTTTGATCTTTTAAATTAAAGGATGAATTCTAGAGATAGTTTATTATGTCTGGACCACTGATTTTTTTTTATCATGAGTCATTAACTGCGTCATTTACCGATAGTTGTCGCAATTTTATTGACGGATGATTTCGTTGAGGAATGAGATTATTATCAGTTTAATGAGTGATATCTCTGGGTTGAGGAAAGTGCAGAGAGCCTTTATTATTGTATTCCTCAATTGTTCACCGAGTGGAGAGGGTTGCAGTTATCTAGAGTATCTGATTGAATTATCTGAGTGAGAATTTGGATTGTTTTTCGTTTTTTTTTATTTTTGAAGACTAGGGGAATTAAAAATTCAGAAATTGATTCCACTTATTGCCATTTTGTTTTTTCTTATTTTCCTCTCTGGTTTTTGAGATTATGGTCCACTGGGGGATTACCTGTGATTCATCTAGAGTTGATAAATAATTTTTAAATATTAATTAAGCCTCGGGTGGATTATCTAGAAAAGATCATTTACTCCGGAATTCGGATTCCTAATTACTTTGGCAATTAATCGTTTTTTTTTTCAATAATTGTTAGCTAGCGTTCTAGCGGTTGTCAACAACTAAGCCGCTAGCTAACAATTATCGGAAAAAACGATTAATTGACGGAGTAATTAGAAGTCCCAATTTTGGAGTAAATTATCTTTTCCAGACAGTCCATCCGGGCCTTAAATATTAATTAATTTTTAAATCTACTTCGATAAATTGAATCTCGTTATGTAATAGATAATTAATAATAGGTTATGTATAACGCCGATCTTATCAGTTTCTGTTACTGAAATTTTTAGAAACGATCATGTTGAAGTTTGGAGTGTTACTCGGGGTGTTCCTGGTGTTCTCCCAGGCATCCGCTGAATTCTGTTACAACGACGTCGAAGGGGCTTGCAGCACCAGACCCACCACAAGTGGTAATTCCCACTTCAATTATTCCAAAAGAACTCAAAGAAATTCACGATTAATCAATTGTATCAATGAATTTAGATGGAGCTCTTCTCGCTAACTGCAATGCAAAATACGGTTCGTTCGAGGCTCTTCAGGCTGATCTCCAGGCGTACGCCAATGCTCACATTGAGACGAGCTTCGAATTTCTGCTGATGTCCACTCATTTCGGTAATTACGAGGCCAATCGGGAAGGATTCAAGGCACTCTACAGGAAATTGTCTGATGAAAATTGGAACAGGGCCATTGACGTCATTAAATTCATCACCAAGAGGGGAGGAAGAATGAACTTCAATCAGCTGCCTCGTTTCAAGAGAAATGTGAGAACAAATAAACCGAAAATAAAACAATTATAGCTAATCCCAGATATTTCCAACAAATATTTATATTGGATTAATATATATTTTTTATAGACTAACGATCGTGTCCTGGAGTTGAACGAATTGAACAGTCTGGCCAAGGCCCTTGACACTGAGAAACAACTGGCAGATGAGGCCCTTCGTATCCACTCACAGGCCCAGCATCACACCAAAATGGATGCCTCAGTTGCTCACTACATCGAGGAGAAGTTCATCGAGGATCAAGCTGACACTGTGAGAAATCTCGCTGGTCACACCAACGACCTCAAGAACCTCCTGGGAGATCGTGATGCCTCTGTATCTGTCTATCTCTTCGATGAATACCTCAAGTCAATCTTGTAATTTCTTCATTACTAAAATTAATCTTCAACGAAACCAACAATTTCCTTTGAATTTTCTATTTGATTTTTTTAAAAGCAATTGCGAGTTAATTGTGTTTATTATTATGATTATTACAGACTCATATAGGATTATAGTTGATGTAATTATTGTTCGGTTCGATAAATAAATCATTGATATCTTCTATTCGTTCGTTTTATGTGTCTGAAATATTAAACAATATAACCCATAATAAATAAATGTATCACTAAAAGAATTTCCAGTAAATAAACAAATAAATCGGCAATTAATCGAGAACTAGGACCGGATTTCCGTAATTCCATGCAGAAATTTCAAATTATTATTTATATAGATAAGTAATAAAAATCGTAGAAATCCGAAGATAATTGAAGAACAATTCCGAATATGCAACAATTTATTGTTGAATGGGTTTAGTAATGGCGCCATGCCATTGCTGCCATAAGAATGGAATAAAAAGTGAAGTGCGCGTGTGGGGCAGTTGGGGCAGTTGTCATCCAGAATTCCACAATTGGAAAGGAATCCCCCTCCCACAACGACACGATACACCTTAGCAGTCGTCGTATTAACGAGAAGGAAATAAATTTGTGCACCTGTATTAGTCGGAATACCTCCACAATTCTCAATGACGAATTAGGCGTTATTCATCCCTTCGCGATACACGTCTCCATCCTCTGGATAATCGCCAAACTCCAGGATTATGTTATAACCCAGTGTTTCGGTGTTATCAGAGTGAATTTCAACAGCAGACGGTGAGTTATCTGACGTTGAATTACAAAAACAGCTGTCAAAATCGATTCACACACATTGCAACTGAGTGGTGAAATCACTCAGATATTCCACCAGTCCACCCACACCATTTCCTGTTGCTGATTGTTCCAATTAATTTGTCTTAACCTGATACTTATTTACTTTATTAATATTTTATTTATTATGTATTTTACTGGAATGTTGCCTTTCATTGTCTGACCTGTAATTAGAGTGCTTTTAATAATTAGACTGCGAGTGACAATTGCTTTTAATTTCAGATTAGCAAATTAACAATTAACTCGAGGCGTTGAACTTAAGAATTGTTTGTCCGATGATATGGGTCACAGGTGATGAGTGTGTACCAATTGCCAACATCGTCCCTTACGTTCACCAGTAAACTCAATATCAACGATATATTGATATCGGCTTTTGAGTCGAGTATACGACGTGGGAAAGGAATATTTCACAGCAAAACCATATCCACCGACGAGCTGGCTCTACTAGGGAAGCTGGAAGAGGCTAATAGGTATTTTCATTTTTTTTTTTAATTTTTCATGGAATTGCAAGAAAAATACGAAGCATGCAATTTCAGCTTCTTTTTATTTTAATAGTCAACCCCAAGTCCAGGAGAAATTGATTTTCTTTCAAAAGAAAATCTTACTCCAAGCCGAACACTAATTACATTATTATTGTATTATTATTGTATTATCAATAATTATTATTATATTGAAATTTACAGCTAACATTCTGATCGAATTCGGTCAGAATTTGCTTGAGTCATGCACAATATTTTTGACGATTGGGCAATTTTCTTTTTAAATTTCGAGGAATTCAAAGCGTATGCAATTTTTTACGCTTGAATTCTCCCTGTATTAGGATTAGAAGTAGCACTTTAGCGATGAAAATCGATCATAATATAATTGTATTGAAGAGTTACTCGATTCCACCATTTTGAATTTTAAAAAGTTGGCCGAGAAAAAAGAATACTTATCTTCCTATTTTCCTATTATAAAAAAGACGAACATCGAGACTATCGATATCTCAAAAGTCTGTCACGCCTATTCCTGATTGGCTGTCGACTGACGCGGTTAATTCTTCCTGTCATGAAAACGATAAACATCGAGACTATCGATATCTCGAAAGTCTGTCACGTTTATTCCTCATTGGTTCACTCGTCTGAGGCGGTTAATCTTTCCTATTAGAATCTTCCTATCTTCCTATTATAAAAAGGATAAACATCGAGACTATCGATCTCTCGAAAGTCTGTCACGCCTATTCCTCATTGGCTGTCGTCTGACGCGCTTAATTCTTCGTATTATGAAAACGATAAACATCGAGACTATCGATATCTCGAAAGTCTGTCACGTTTATTCCTCATTGGTTCACTCGTCTGAGGCGGTTAATCCTTCGTGAATACTTTCCGCTCTAGGGTGAAAAGTGAATATTTTCCCCTCTAGGGTGGGAAGTAGCCTTGGGGGCGAAAAGTCCTGAAAAAAAATTGTAACGGGATAACATTAAAATTGTAGAGGTATCTTGTGTAATTAAACACGACAAAATACAAAAAAAAAACAGATCACTCTTTACATCTTTCGTTATCCTGTTACAAAACTTTCACTTCATTGAAGCCCAAACGATGATTGGGCTAAAATCGATTGATCGAAATCGAAATGAATGAATAAAACCCATTGCTCTTTTAATAATAGGGGACAATTTGAATGCTTTAATTAACATTATTTGTATTAATTATGAAAACTGATTATTTAATTGGATGAATTGTCAGGCTGATCGAGGAAGATGTGAAATCCTGCAATTCCCTGCAGACTCACAGCCGAAAGAATTCGGAGACCTCGAAGGAGAGCGGATCGATTGTAGAGGGAGAAAATGACTCCTCTTCACAGCACGAGACCCCGAGCGACGGTGAAGTGGATGTTTGGAAACGATGGGGCCATATCGTAGCTGACTGGGAGAATTACTCGAAGAAGCACAAGGACTTCGTCAAGGAGCTAGTGAAACAGGGAATTCCCCATCACTTCAGGGGTATCGTCTGGCAGTTGCTGTGTGGAGCTCACGATTCACCCGTGAAGAAGCAATTCGCTGAGTACATCAAGGCCACGTCAGCTTGCGAGAGAATAATTCGTCGAGACATAGCACGAACATATCCTGAGCATGAATTCTTTAAAGAGAAGGATGGATTGGGCCAGGAGAGTCTTTTCAACGTCATGAAGGCGTACAGTCTTCATGATCGTGAAGTGGGCTACTGCCAGGGGTCGGGCTTCATCGTTGGGCTATTACTAATGCAACAGGTAATTAGAGTATGAGTCATTACTTTTACATCGTAATTACAATTGCCTCGAAACTTCACGAGCTACTTCATGATAAATGAGTCAACGACTCGCCCTCATCCCCTAGGAAATTAATTTTAATTGCTTTCCTCTACTAAAAGATTTTAAAAATTGCGTCACGATTTTTTTTTAGAATTATTTTATTCGTGTGATAAATTTCGATGATTTTTTCATCGTTTAAATTTTTTAAAGGAGTAAAATTGACATTTTTTTTTAATAGATGCCTGAAGAGGAGGCATTTGCAGTGCTGGTGGCCCTCATGCAGGAATATCGTCTCCGCGACATGTTTAAGCCGAGCATGGCTGAACTAGGTGTTTGCATGTATCAATTGGAGCACCTGGTGACTGATATATATCCGGATTTAGCTGCTCATTTCACTGCTCAGAGTTTTCATACCTCGATGTACGCCTCTTCCTGGTTCCTCACATTGTTCACCACAGCCTTGAGTCTACCCCTGGCATGTCGTATCTTCGATGTCTTCCTGATGGAGGGAATGGAGATAATTTTTAAAGTGGCACTGGCGATGCTAGAACTGGGACGGGAGGAGTTGCTCAGCCTCGATATGGAGGGAATGCTCAAGTTCTTCCAGAAGGAACTGCCCGGTAGAGCTGAGAAGGACCCCGAGGCACTTCTCAATTTCGCCTACAGGCTGAAGATAAATTCAAAACGAATGAAAAAACTCGAGAAGGATTACACAGTTCTCAAAATGAAGGAGCAAGAGGAAATGGTGGAGCTTCGTCGTCTTCGAGCTGAGAATCGTCTCTTACGACAGAGAACCGAGCTGTTGGAGGCTGAATCAGCTGAGTTGGCTGATCGCCTTGTGAAGGGTCAGGTGTCCAGGGCGGAGGAGGAGGAGACAACTTTCGTGGTACAGAGAGAACTTGCAGCTCTTCGACATTCCCACCTGGAGACTTCCCATCAGCTGGAGCAGGCGCACGAGGAACTGAGGTCCATGTCAATGCTCCTAGAGGAGAATATGTCTTCCAAACAATCTTCCATCGACGAGATCATGTCGAAGCAGGAGGCGTTGAGCCAGAAGGAGGAGATGGTGGAGTGTCTGCAGCAGGAGCTTGTCAGGGTGAGGCTCCACGAGGCTGAGAATGACGCCACAATCAGGGACTTGAGGGCCAGAATTCAGGAACTCGAGCAGGACAAGAAAACTCTGAGGGAATCTACACCAGATAATTCTGTTGCTCATCTCCAGGAGGAGCTCATTGCTGTCAAGCTGAGGGAGGCAGAGGCCAATCTGTCATTGAAGGATCTCAAGCAGAGGGTCAGTGAGCTTAGCACAGCCTGGCAGAGACATCTCCAGGAGCATAGGTCTGCGCAATCAGCCCCTGCTGCTGACTCCACTCCGAAGAAGCTCCTCTTCTGGGAGAACAGGGGCCACGAGGTGCAGAAACTTGAGGAGGACTTGATGTCTACTAGGGTCAGGGAGATGGTCGTACTTAGTGAAGTTAAGGAGCTCAGGCTCAAGGTGATGGAACTGGAGACTCAGGTTCAGGTCGCGACGAATCAGTTGAGACGACAGGATGATGGGGAGAAGGCTCTCAGGGAGGAGTTCGAGGCGGCACTCGTCAGAGAGAAGGAGCTCGCGAGCAAATTGAGGGAACAATTGCACAAGTACTCGGATCTTGAGGGCAAAATGAAGGACGACGCTATGATGGCGAGGATCAGGGATGCTGAGCATGCACAACATGTCGCTGAGTTGACGCAGAAAATTTCACTGCTCGAATTGAAGGTGATTTTCTGTTATTGTGAAAACAATTAGAAAAATTGTAATGAATTTCTAATGTTCTGTAATGAATTTCTAATGTTCTGTAATGAATTTCTAATGTTCTGTAATGAATTTCTAATGTTCTGTAATGAATT